TTGTAGAAACAAGGACCTGGTCAACGATACCGCTCTCCGTGCTTCGTAGCGCGTAGAAACGTCTAATTTAGTATGTTGTTTTGTTCTCTGGCCAAGTTCCTCTGATTCAGGGGCTAACGGTGCAGTTTTTCCAATAATGATGTCTTCACCAGAAACACGGACGCCGGGTGCTACGATACCATCATCGTCGACTTTGTCATACGTTCCGTGTTTCATCCGTAGGGTATCTGACCTCATCGGCTTTTCGAACCTCTCCACTACTGTCAAGCCTATCATTTTCTCGGAGTCCGTATATGTCCGGTAGAACAAGCTTCGGAAGAGTCCGCGGTCGATGCTGCTCTGGTTCATGATAACAGAATCTTCTTGGTTATATCCAGAATAACAAGCGATAGCAACAATTGCGTTCTGACCGGCTGGAAGCTCTCTAAATTTGAGAAATTCCATCGACCGCGTTGTGGCCAGGGGTTTCTGTGGATAGTAGAGGATGTTCGCCATGGTTTCCATTCTTTGATCGAAATTGGTAAGGAAAACACCCATCGCTTGTTTACCCATAGCGGACTGGTATGTATTACGAGGAGACTGGTTGTGGTCAGGGAACGGAATGATGCTGGCACAGATACCTAAAATCATGCTGGGATGGATTTCGCAATGAGTCCAGGTGTGTGCCTTTTGACTGAGTTTGGACTTGACACGGCGGTTGGGATCGGATGTATCTTCCTCAGGAATATATCCCGCCCGGTATTGTTTGGAAGCTTCCAAGTCCTCAGGAGTCATGACAATCATGATGGTCTCCTCCTCCTCCGCGTCCACGTATTCAACCACACCGGATTTGACAAGCCCATCCCAACCGTAATACCGTTCCCGACGTTCTTCTGCGTCCAAATCTGCGGGGATTTCTTTGTCCGCTTCAAGCTTGTGAATATGTTCTTTGGTTAAGACAAGAGAGCCAGCGTTCTCGCTTTTCGGATCATTGTCAACTAAAAATAGTGGTCGACAAACACGGCCGGCGTCGGTGAAAATCTTGAACTCCCGATCACGGATATCCCATACCAAGCTGACTTCATGTGAAATCAAGTTTCGCCGACGTAAAGACTGGACTGTGCTCACGAGGTGTGATGCGTCTCTGTGTACGCCAACCCAGACACCATTAACGAAAATTTTGGTTGAATTGGGAGACACTTGAGGCTCAAACTCTTCTAGAACCTCCATGTTCCGCTGGATCATGAAGTCAATAATAGGCTCACTAGGCGTACCAACAGTGATGTAACACATCAGAGCTAAGTTTTTGACAAGACCACAAGCTTGACCTTCCGGGGTTTCGGCGGGACAAACCAGGCCCCAGTGAGTATTATGCAGCTGACGAGGTTTGGCAATCTTGCCGTCACGACCAATTGGAGTGTTCGTTCGCCGAAGATGTGAGAGCGTAGAGGCATAAGTATAACGGTTGAGAACCTGTGAGACACCGGCTTTCGAGCTCGCTGCCTTCTTCTGCTCACCCCAATTTCCGGTAGCAAGAGCATACTTTAGACCACCAGTCAACGTGCTCGCCTTGACTCCGATCTTCAGGTACAGCTGGCGGTTTGTCTCGACACATCTCTGGACATATTTATAGAGGTCTTTCGTCAGTCGCATAAAGAGCACTCGAAACAGGTTGGCAAGTAAAGGCCCAGCTAAATCAAGACGCTTTTTGCCGAAATGATCGCGATCGTCAACATCCCGTCGGCCAAGAGCGCATTGGAGCAGCTTATGCACCATATATCCCAAGAAGAAGGCTTTGCGAGTCTCGCTTCCTTCACTTTGCGAAATGTGTGGTAAAAACTCTTTTTGTATGATATCTCTTGCATATCTGACACGCTTTTCATGGTTCATGCTCGTCGGCGAAGAACCTCTCTTACTGATAAAGTCGAGGGCAACTTCACGATCCTGGATGACGAAACCTTCTTCAATACAAGGTTTTAGCATTTCTAGCATCGGGGTATCGTTGCGGTCGTAGCAAATGTGATTAAGAATATCTTCGTCAGAAACAACTCCCAGAGCTCTGAAAACAACGACGATAGGTATATCGGTTTTGATATAGGGTAGCGTAGAACGAATAGTAGGCCCAAATCCGCCCTTAGAGCTATCTCCTTTGGCGAAAAGTTTAATAGACAGCTGGGAGAGGATTCGCGAGCCTTTTTCAACGGCACTTCGAATCTCGGCAACGAATGGAGTAGGACTTGGAGGAGCCTTCTTGAAAACCTGAACGATATTTCCAGCACTTCGCTCTTGCGCAATAAGAACCTTTTCACTGCCGTTTATGATAAAGTAGCCTCCAGAGTCATAAGGGCACTCGTTCCAGTTATAAAGTGCATGTTCCCCAAGGTCTTTGAGGATACAGTATTTCGACTTCAACATAATCGGCATCTTTCCGATGAAGATATTCTCTTCGCCCTCCTCATCTTCCGGCAGCGCTCTAGGTGCCCATTGTAGATACGTCCCTCTCGCCCTCCTCTCTTCATCGCCCTTTTCCTCCGGCTCTTCGTCTTCGTCACGTTCAGCCAGCGATCGTTCTCGGCCTTCGGCGACCTTTTTTGTGATTCCGAGATAAAGGGGGCTCGCATACGTCAGGTTTCGGAGGCGTGCTTCTTGCGGCAACATGATACTCGTGGCTCCGTCACCCTCCGTCATCGAGGGCCGCGCGAGCATCACCGTGCCAAACTTTAGCTCGTAACGTCGTACCAGGACCGGATCGGGATCATCTTCCTCGGGAGCTATTGTTTGATCAAGTGTCACTTGCCCCTGCTCCTCCACCAGTTCCTGCATCGTCGTTGAAATGAATTCATCGAAGGAGTCGAGCTGCTGGGACACCAGGCCTTTTGATTCGAAGAACGAAGAGATGACAGTCCAGCAGTCTTCAGATGTGATCCCTTCCTCCGCCTCGTAGTAGCCATCTTCGCCATACTCGTCCTCGTATTCTTCCATGCTGACTATATCGATCGACGCGCTGAAGGGTGTTTTTCACTTGTCGGAGTTGAAAGTTTCAAAACGCCGCATGGAACAAGACCGTCAAAAGAATGAAGTTAATGGAAGTAAAAATGTAATTGCTAGGTGTCAGAATGAAATGGAAATCGAGGATAGGTGCGCCTCAGCAAGGCGGTTGTGCGCGATGGAGGAGGTTGAGAAGAACCATGCTTCCCTTCACGTCCGCGCATTCATGAAAGATCCTCTCTGGAGGCCGCCACAGATGCTTCCCGTTTAGGTTTAGTCAGGCTAACGCCAAGAAATTGAGACCCATGCTTCGACATGGATGATGTCGATGTTCAATTCGACGTCTATAGAGTACGGAGTACATAATTTACATCTGGCCAATATTTATAAGAATCCCAGCAGAGTGCTAAGCATGTCCTTTTCTTCCTCCTCCCCTTTCTGTGTCTTCCAAGCCACTGACCTGTTCTGTTGCGTGATGTTAGCATCTAAGTCAAGCACTCCCGGCCAGAGAAGCTCACCTTCAAGTGTTGCCCGAATTATACTTAAATCTTGATCTTGCTCAGATAAAAGAGATTTAATTTTCGCTTTAGAGCCATCGTCTTCAGCTACAAGCCATGCGAGGATAACATCAATAATCTAAATTGTATTAGCAATCGTAGAACACTACAGAGATTAATTCATACCTGCAACGGGACGAGTCCAGCGTCCAATCTTCGAGAAAGCCATTCAGCGGCCATTGTGTCCTGTTCATCTTTGGCCAAGCTTTCTTGCTCTTGCGCAATCGATTGATCAATAGGCACAAGTCTTGATGCGTACCCTCGCCGGAGCTGCACCAATCGAGTAACCTTCTCGTAATCCTTTTCTACGAATTTTGCCAATGTTCTAATGCGTCCGGCAGACTCGCCTGGGAGTGACCGGAGGAGAGATGCAAAAATCCCTAGCAGGTGCTCTATTGTTTGATTGTCTTGCTGTAAAGATGTCAGCGAGTCTACTTCTTCATTTAATTAGGGGCACAAAGTTTGACTTACCTTTTTCATAAACATCCCAAACACGGTTCTTAAGAGCCCCGCCTCTACAAGCCGTTCGCATACCTGAATTCCGTCCTTCCCACCAACGGCGTGGCTGAGGACCCGTAACGCCCTAAGCTTACTCATTTTGCCTTCCCGAAGCATAATCTGCAAAAGCTCGACTCCTTCTGCCTCAACGAACTTCGCTTTCCCAGCTGCCCCATCGACAATGCATGTCATACTATCGAATAGGTTTTCGACATATTCTTCTTCGTCAGAGTCCTTTTCGGGATCGCGTTTTCTGTATAGACTAAGTAGCCGTAGCAAAGCGTCCACGCCATCCAACCCAATGAACCTCTCGCAAGTCTTTGTCGATGACTGTAGCAATATTGCAAGGATCTCTGCTGCATATTGTTTGTTCTGCGAGACCGATTTCTCACTCTTTAGTATTCGTGAGTGAAGCCAAGGTATGATATCTGATTCTTGTCCGATTTTCTCTGCTATCGATGACTTGGAACATAGGTTCTCCAAAACATCTTGTAATCGTCAGCGGCTTGATTAAGGCAACAATATGAAGGAAGACCGTACTTAGTATATGATACACCCCTGACCGGTCTGCTTCCAGGTCCTCGTCTAGCCGGGAAAGATTTTGTGATAAAAGCTCAATAACGTCGGCATCTAGCTTCAGGATGTAAGTATGGGTTTAGATCAATGGTGAAAAATGAGCCTACCATAGCATTCACCAACGCTTCCCATTGCTCTTCTTCTGCCTCCACATCCTCATCCGTCAATTCAGCGAGAATTTGCACAACATCAATGGCGATATCGGTATTTTCGTGAGCTAGTAATGAGACGAGAGACCCGGCGCAACCAAGTTCAGCGAATTCTGGGTAAAGAGCAGGATGCTCAGAGAGAATTGATAGCCCTTTAATATCAACGTCCAAATCCGCTTCTGATGCCATAAACCTATAATAGGGCGACCTGTAAGTTGATTTACCGACTCAGGGGTGAAACCGAAGCCAGCATACTTTTGCGGGTCATCCTCAAATTTGGCCCTCAGTTCCGCGTTCTTCGAAATCCGCTTCTCAAAATTAAGAGCAGTGCGCCGTAACCATGTCGCGTCAATTTTTCCTGACTATTACACTCGATATTAGCACGGAAGTGCGTGAATTGAATACGGATATCCTGACCTGAACGCCTTCTTTTTCCTGCTGTTCGATGAAATCCAAAGCACTACTCGTATCTCTAGTCACCCCACTTCCAAAAAAACGGCCCTCTTCATCGTCGGGGATGTCTTCCTCTGCAAGATCCGGCGGGAGCTCTGGGCCAGCAATATCCTCGTCCTCTGCATCTTCTACAGCAGCATTCTTGCTACCCCGAGCATCACCATTGGCGTCAAGTTTGGCAGATTTATATATCTCGTCTAAATAAAGTCAGATTCCGTACTATATAGCTGCAGGAAGGTTTGTACTTGGGTCCCGAAGTGGTTCGGATTTGCGCTTCTGTCCCGATGGCAACAAGGGCTTCTATAAGTGGGCGGGTTAGTGCTGTCAAGCTAAGTTGAGGGATAGAGGTACCTTGAAAAAATCATCTATGCTTGCCATCTTTATCACGAATCAATGTATGATAGGGTCATAAATCTGCAAGATCGTTGCGCAATTGAAGCGCTTCCCGTCGCAGTCAACTTCGTTCTCCATGGATGCATTAGAGCTCCCAATGGCTCGACGTAGTCGGTTTGCAGTTCCGGCGAGCTAAACGCCCAATAGCGCAAATGGAAAATCCAAAAGCGCAACTCAAATTGGAATATTCTTGAACTCTTGCAATCAACTCAACTTCGGTGCTGAAAACATATACTTTAATCTCTCACGACTCACAGCGGTCATTATCTTTGCACATCGATCGAGAAACCGAATCCGAATATTTGCCCCTTATGGCTCCAAAACAGCGTGTCGTCGTCCAGTCTTCCTCCCGCCGAGTTCAAGATAAACGGGGTTATCTGTCCACCGCATATCATGAACTCACCTCGTCCGAAAATGCCTCCGTAGTAAGAAGCGTTGTCATGTTTGGGGTGGGTTCTCTATTGTCTATCCCCTTTTTCTTACTTGACCAAGCCGAAATTCCGACACCAGTTTGGTCCAACTGATAATGCCAATTGCATCTACCAACATTGCTGACAATATGAATCCAAACAGGCCGCCGTTGCGTTCTTACACAGCAGTTTCAGTGAATTGCTTCTACCAGTGTAAGTTTGGGCTTCTACTTCATAGCTACAGGCGCTATCTGGTTGGCTTCCGACACTTACCCGTCCCGCTTAAAATTGCGCCCAACAAGCACCATGTTGCCGGCTTTATGCAGCGATTCAGATGCCGCACTTCTCTGAGGAGAATCGATTTTGGCTAATTATTTACTAGTTTGTAAATGGATCTCTAAAAACCTCCTCGCCTGCCGCTCAGAAACTCGGTCCTTGTTCAGCGCCGGATTTCACGATAGCGAAAAATTCTTGAACCTGTACTATACGCCCTTGAATGGTTATTATACATGGATATGTCTGTTGGTGGTGCATCTAATTTGGTGTTTTTAAACTCGCTTCTAAGCACCTACCTCTGCAGGATTCGGCACACGGCCGGCAGAATAGGAAAATGTCAGTGATTGCCGGCACAGCGGTGCCTATTTGTTGCTTATATTGGCGGCAAACACAGGAGTTTGGATTATTTTACATCAATGGATTTGATTTGAAAACTTCAACCATCCCTGAAGACCAAGTCTCAAGAGAATATTCCAATATTCTTAATAGTTCGGAATGAATGCGTACTAACAACAAATGAAGCATCTAGACTACGAGTCTGGACAGCTTCAATCTCAATCGAAACGTCCGCAAACTTATCTTCACATGCCTCTATATTCATTATCAAATTCTCGTCAGCATTACACCAGAAATCCCATATTCCCTATGGTTACAACAGCAAGACTATTGCAGGCTGTCAAAAGACTAACTGGCTTGCCTATCGCCTTTCTGCTTCTTTATTAATCCACTCAGTCGCTTTCTCTTTCCAATCCTCGTCCCACCGTGACAAAGCTGGGCGCTCCTCAGTGATATCCCCAATCGCCCACGCCATCCGAGCTTTATCCAATGACTCGCTGACGTCTTCATCGGGGCAAATGATATAGAATTTCCCTTTCTTCATCTTTTCATACATGTACGTCGCAACCTGACTTGGAAGCCACGCTCCCTTGGGCTTTGCCTCGCGTGCCTGGTCATCATGAACAGGGCCTTCACTCCCAGTGAGGCCGGTGAATGTCCAACCAGGAACTAGAAGATGGACATGGATGCTCTTGGTGGCACTATTGGAGCGCAAATCATGAGCGAGGTGCTCAGCGAGCGATTTCAGTGCTGATTTACTGGCATTATATGCTGGATTCTTTCCTCCCGGGGGGTTTGTGATGCCTTGTTTTGAACCAGTGATGACAATTGCTTTGGGCCCTTTGCCAGCGTTGTCGCGTAACTGGGGTAGGAATGTGCAGATTCCATTGAGCACGCCGTTTAAATTAGTCGCAAAGGTCTGGTAGAAGTGTTTTTGGACATTAGTATCTGTGGAACAGGTTGCATTCGCTCTCAGATTTCAAGCAATTGGAGACCAAACCAGCTTTGATACTAGATGGATAGGTAAGTGACGCAGAATCACACCTTTTGAAAGTAATCCAAATCTTCCCACAGATTTTCTGGTTGCTTCGGTTTGAAAACGGACCCCGCGTTCAGCATTAACAAGTCGACACCTGATGGGAAATTAAATCCGACTTTGGCGCGTAGATACTCCCACGACGGCTCGTCCGAAACGTCCATAACATGGGTCAACGTCTTCGCCTTTGCGGTGTCTCCAAGAAGGGTGTGGGCTTTAGCCAAATTATCCGCGTGAATATCTACCAAAATGAGGTTCATGTCGTGGGAACGACATAATTGGGCCACGGCGAAGCCAATCCCGCTGCTAGCTCCAGTTATGAGGGCGGTGGCGCCTGCGTGGAAGGGGGTGTTTGCCATGCTGAGAAAGTAGTAGACCGACTGCTTTTTGAACCGTGGAGTAGTATTTGAACTAGAAAAGACTCGAGTCGTTCAAGGCTAGTTTGGGGTTCTATACTATCGCGGACACTGATGGCCTATATACGAAGTCGAGTCATGACGCAACACCCAGCGCAAAGTTCGAGCATAATTTAATAACTCTACATCGCCTAGAACACAGCGAGCAGTCGAGCATTAGGACAAGCATCCCGCTTGCACCACACAGCCTAGGTAGGTATGGCGTCATATCAAAATGGCATCGTGCGACTGGAAGTATGGTCTGCCCTTTCTGTACTGCGTTTAAGTAAATAATAAAGGCAGTCAAAGAAAACGAGCAAGGACTCATCTGCCCGGTTGTCTATGCTGAAACATCCTGATCACATCCTATCAATTATGTCAGACAATATTTCTTACATCAATGAGCAATCAACAAAACTCCCACGAATGCATAATCTCAATCCAAATAATGTATCATCCTGCAACCCCAAAGACGCCACCGAATTCAACGGCCAAAACACGCCATAGGATAGAGGGGAGCTCACAGCAACGGAGATACCAAGGTTCATATAATACAGGGTATAAAAGTAAATATTCAAATGAAAAAGCCAGCAAAAGTATTCGCAGATCCCTCTGGAAGCCGCTTCACCAATTTCACAAAATCGACATCTAAGAAGACATTGTAAAGGTTGGCCTGTTGGAGCTTCACGTCAACGACATCGCCTGCTTGCAACGGTGGCATACCCTTATCCACTGAGATGCAGCAGCGCAAGCGAAATGGAAGCAACGAGCCCATATACTGCGTCTTGGAATTTTTGACATTTGACACTGTGCCCTCGAGCATTTGAGTCACGATCAGACATTGAAACGTTTCGGGCAACTCCGCTTGGTTATAGTTGTGCGCGCGGAACAAGAGCTGCAAAGCCCAGAAATCCCGAGACGTGGACTGTGCGCGGTCCTTGACACGGTTTTGCCAATTTGACCTAGCAATCAGAGCGTCCACTTCCTGTTTGGAGAAGGGCAAGACGGCCTTGTTTTGCTGGCTTATTGGCTTCTTTGTCTCGGCCTCATGGCGCAAAGCCGCTTCGATCTGCCAGTGGCCAAGGAGATCCGAATATCGTCTGAGGGGACTCGTGCATTTAGTGTACTGGTCCATCCCTAGAGCAGTGTGACGGATTGGTACGGGTGATAAGTAGCCCTTTGAACGACGAATACTCGATGACGATTTCTTGCTCCCGAGTATTTCACTGAGAACAGTGTCTTCGGGCCGCTGGGTTGCTCCGTTGAATATTAGTGGAATGCCCCTTTCTTTGCACCACTGAGCGGCAATCTCTCCACCAAGCAACATTGCATGTGAAACGAGATCTTGTTTGGTGCTCTCTGTGGTTTCAAGCGGATCTAGCATCAAACCACTAATGCTAATAATCGGGTCTTCACGCAGACGAGAAACAGGGGCGTCATCTACCGAATAAGACTCGATCTGACCATTAATACCTGAAACAAGTGGTTGCGATCGTTGAATTGAAGCAGAATCGATTGCACCTTTCTTCAGCCTTACTTCCCAGCGAGCTTTGAGTAATTTCTGTAATGTTCGTAGGGACTGTCCATGCTCCTCAGTTATATGATCTTGAAGTTCTGGTCGGCTTGGTTCCCCAAGCTCACCACCGACAGCCAATGTCATGCGGGGAACGTTATCATAATCAATACCGAAAAGCTTTCGCAGCCGATCTGGTGTGATGTATATAACATTCTTGACATAGCTGCTAACAATTTTTTTATCAAGTATTTCTCCTTGCATGTTGACCTTCGCACTGATTGTCAGTGCAGGCTTACCGGGTCCTAGGCTGAAATGAGTGTGTGTGATGCTTGGAGGAAGCATGGGATATATCCGCTCCGGAGAGTAGAATGACCTTTTGAAATGTTCTGCACCCTTCGCAAGTATGTGATCGGGAGGGATGAATGCAGAAGGATTTGCGACATGGATATGAATCCAGTACTCGTTCTCCGAACCATTCACAGGCTCAACTGAAAATCCGTCGTCAATTTCAGCAGCGCCTGGACTATCAACGCAGAAGACGGGAAGGCCACCCCAATCTGTTCGGAGATCTTTCATTGAATCCTTCAGGCTATCAGCGGTCATAGTCTCGCAGAATTCGTTGCACTCTTTGGCTATCTGGTCAGAAACAGGGGAAACTCCGTGGCCCGGTAACGCTACTAGTTCGCTCAGTAGATGGAGATTTTCCCAGGGTGCCACAACCCCAATCTCTTGCAGGAAAAGATAGCCCGTTTGAGAGGTCATGGGATAGCCGTCATACATCTCAATATTTCGGATAATCATAGATCCTGTTGTTTTCAAAATTGAACTAGACATCAACGATGGAGGGGTAACCCATAATCGCAAGAACGTGATAATCATTTTGTCCGAATCTGAAAACTCTTCCGCTGCTGATATTTCCGAGTTTACGGCGCCAGATTGCCTTCCCGTCGTCGGCTGCTGAATTGTAGGGCCAACGGAGAATGAAAGTGTGGGTTCACGAGACTGTCGACTCAAATATACCATTTTCCTGGCTTTCTTGATAAATGAGCCCAGCGGCGATGTTTGCTGAACTCCAGATTCCCAGCCCAGTGCTTGTCTTGCTCGGTTGTTTTGATACTGGCGTACCCAGTTTATAACAGTTTTAATAACATCCGCTTCTTTCTTTGGCCGAATAGTATAAGATTCGCTCGTAGAATGAGTTTTGTTGGGAATGATATAGAACGATTCTCGTTTTAGGGCATCGTGAATTGCATATCGTTGTGCTTCATTCAAAGTCCCAGGATCCCGACCGAACAACGTTTGGCCAATCTCGTCGAGCGTAAGCAGTTTGACTTCCTTATTGTCTGCCAAAAGGTTGTATATATCGTCCAATCGGCTCGCATGCTCACTATAAAATTCCTGGGCCCCTTGCTCGAACGAAGCCATCCACTCCAGTAGGCGTCGCCCTACCGGTCGGGGTACTCCACCCTCCAAGCCTAATTGGGGTAACCATGACTTTTCCACGGTCGACGTTGGAAAATACGGTAAGAGGGGTGCGAGCATTTCCGGAGCCGCTCGCGCTTTCAAGGCAAAATTCATTTCATTAGGGTGGGCTACACGCCATTTCCCCCGATCCGTGTAAAACTGTTGTTGATCGCTAATCGTACGAACATAAACGGCTAACTGTCCACTGCTAAACCCGGTTTCTCTGTACCTTGTCAGCATTTCACCGGCCTGTGAAGGAGGACTGGGGACGCTTACTGTTCCAGTAGTACCAAATCTCCGGGCCATAAATAAGGAAAATGACCATCTTCCTCTGGAAAATCTTGGTAAATATCTAGATCCCATTCCCTGGGGCTTTCGCCATTAACCATGGGTTCATCCCTCAACATGTTTCCAACCCATTTTGAACCAGTGTGGTGTGGCGTCTGAGCTGGTACACGAACGGGATCAATGTCAAGGTCCGGCGCCAAAGGCTTCCAGCCCTTGAGGTATTTAAAGATATCGTCTTTTCGTGCTAGTTCTGACTGGAAAAGAGATCTCGACTTTTCATCCAGAAGGGCACTCGGTGACGGAAAGGTATTCTAAACCGGAAACGCGGGATTAGGACGGGTAAAGATAAAGCTAAGTTTGGTAGCATACCTTTTGACTAGCATGGAATTCCCTTCTTGAGCTGAGAATCCCGTTGCGCAATTTCGAGTTTCTGATCACAGCCGCCCCGTGCCGCTTCAACAGTACTGCGCATCGTGAACAGAAATAACTCTCTTGGAAAGTGCAAGTGGATTGCAGCCATGACGCGGAGTGTAACATGGCTTAAATGTCTAACAGCGAAGCATTGGATCTGGGTTGGTCTTAAGCATCCGAACAGCAACGAGATGCACGGAGTAAATGGATTCCAGCTATTTTAAAGTTTTGTTATCTGATGTAACTAGTTAACTGAAATCTAAGGTTTAGGAGCCTGGGTTTGATGACTAATAACCGGCGCCAGCTGAACACCTCGAATTTGAGCCTGAACACAGCAATCGAAGGCACATCCAAGCTGCTATAATACATGTTGTCACATACCACCATTCTGATACATAAACATTCGCTCCCTGTTGTGAATATGGAGCAATATTCAACTGGACTGTTCCATTCCTGCTCTGGTCGGTCATAAATTATCTTTAGGTACCTTCTGAAATGTCGACCTCCAAAATCCGAGGTGTAACTAACTATGCGGTCGCCAGAACTTTGGACTGACACATGGCTGCCTAGTTTGGATACTGGCATTCCGAACAGACACAAGGTGGAAAATCGCCCAGTTGTTCGTTGCAAAACCAACAATCGGGCCAGTTCTCTGCCTTAGTCGAAAATGAGCACTCAATCTCGGGTTCTGCGGTTGTACCCTTCTGCTGTGGGTTTTGGGATTCTGATGGCTCGATCTTCGGGACACGAGCAGCACGGGTTGCGCCTAGGATTGGCTCTTTCCTATCGTTTTCGGATGGAGCTGGCATTGTGAGATAGAGACTGTGTCAAAGTGGTATTCTTGCTTAAGATCTTGGGCTCTATGTCTCAATACTAGGGAGGGTGCAAAGGTCTTTCTGCCAACATAATATCATGTTGCTTGTTAAGGGCAATATATACCACAAAATGTGCAAAAAGATAGTGATTGAATTCTTCATATCTTGAGCATAGTGATGCTTTATAGAGAAAATGTGATAGTAAGGACAATAATACTATGAACCGAATGGAGTGAACTGTTGTCACCTAAATCATGAATCACCTTGTTAGCTCATGGCCTTGTTGCATTTTTAATAGGCCCAGGAGCAGTGGCACTAGTCAATAATTAAGCCCATGTCTGGGAGTGTTTTCTCCATTCAACTATTACCATCATCTTTAAAACAGCAGCAAAGGTGAACTATCAAAGACTTGGAATATAAAATGGCACAGAGGTCATGTGTATGACTTGTAAGCCATATTTGTAAGATTCTTTCTAATATGTATGAATATGACACATGAAATTCTACTCAACTTCACCAATCTTCTCCTTGTCCAACTCTGCAGCGAGATCTCTAGCAGACATAAAAATCCCATGAGCCCAACATTTCTCAATAATATGACCTAGCCATATGTCCATAGTTGAGGTAAGACTGTCTCTCCGCAGCCAAGTGTACTCTCCCCCTGGTCCCCCGAATCCCTCCATGAGGTTGAACTTGCATTTTTGGCCAGTAATGATCTCAAACATGACAACACCAAATTGCCCAATGTCTGTCATAATTGAGAACCCAAGGTCATCAGACTTCAGTGTCATTCAAATCTGAATCAAGAGGCATAATTGCTGACTCTCCAAAATCACAAAACCTTGCCTGTAGGTCATCAGTCAGTAATATGTTGTCCAAGCATACATCAGTGATGATGATGTGACAGTCACGGATGTGTGATATGGTGTGTGCCATTGATGCTAACCAAGATAGCTGAGTCACTTTCTCTGGCTGTTGTTTAACCAGGTAGTGTCAAAGATCACCATTCTTCATAAAATCCATCTGGATTGAACTGTCGCCTGATGAAAGATTGAAGCAGCATACCATCCCGGGATGGTCACCCAGCCTTTGATAAACAGCCTTTTCATCTTGGATTGAATGAATAAGATCGGGTCGCTCATTGTAGTCCCCTCCTTCAGGAGTTAATCTCCCAGTAGCCACAGGCACCCCATCAATCTCTATAGGCCTTGAAATCCGAGGTATTTTGAGCGCGTACGGTCTTTGGTCAATGACGATGCCCGTGCCGCCTACACCAGTAACTCTCTCCACAACCTTAGTACCGTCAAGATGTAAGAACACCGATTTCGTTGACGGTAAAGATGGGGGCTTTTCGTGAAAAGAAGTGAGGGTGGAATCCCTCTCGGCTCGGAAGTTGCAAACCCGAACGCGGACGGAAGAGAACCAGCTCTTTTCTCGAGAATCCATGAGGAGAGTTTATGACTCCTTAACGAAGTGGACGTACTGAGGTGAGTATTTGGGTGAAGGTCTAGCAAGTTTTTTGGAGGCAGGAACTTTGCGAAGAGTCGAGTCAGCGGATCACGTGGTGTGCCCATGCTTCGTTTTTGAGATGAACGGAGTAAGCCTTTCCTTGAAAGAGGACTTTAGATGAAGAGCCACGCTTCGTCATCTCCTTTGGGCATACACACAATCTTCCTCATCACGTACTCTAGTCACGGGACGTTGCTGTTTCCGCGGACCCTGGCTGCAAGATTTGGCTCCTAAAAACAGCAGCTGCCTGTACTGGTCTTATAGTGTCTGATCTTGCTGCATAGATTTGAAAGATAGAGCAAAGATCGTCTAGGCGAACCGGGCCAAAATGTACTAGGTGGCGGCCCCAGCATAGTACAGCCCCCAAGGTCTCAAAATATTTTGTCGTACAAAAAAGCAAATGCCAGACGCATGCTTTCAAGGTCGATGTGTCTGACCAGATCATCTTCACGCCATTACTGCCACAGTAGCTCCACATTTAAAAGTATTTTCATCGGGTAGTCTGTTAGAGCTGCATATGGAACAAACCAACAAGTAGATGCCAGAAGAGCTCCGAAGACAGGTTCCAACACGACAATTCCGATAAGAGTAGCCATCATCACTGCTCTGCAAACTGGAGCAACCAAGGGGTGGCCGTATTAAGCACCAGCAAAGGGGTCATTCACTGCTGGTGTCAGAAGTGTTAGCAATATTCACACTAGATTCAAGCTCTCTAGCACTAACCCACCTAGGCTGGGGTAGGAGCCTGCGTCTTGGTTGCCATGACTGTGTCCACTTTCGTCTGGTCGCCAGCAGGAATCATTTTGTAATCGAGGTAGTGGCGTATACCGCTGGTGGGTTTCTTGGGGCAAGGAGCTGCTGTGTACTTAATCCCGTCGCATTCTCCAATCTTGCAACCATTTCCGGAATACATATACATCGTCTTGTACTCCTTGTACATGGTTGATTGAAGTAAGCGTGACGGTGGGTCCTGGGGGTAAGAGCTAAGGCAGAAGACTAAAGGACCAATTTGATCTAGAGGAGAGGTAGTAAAAGGAGGCTAGAGAGACTGGCCTTTGGGAGGTGATAAGGGAAGTCAACATGCCTGGTGCCAGCTTCAATATGCCATCTGGCATGCAATGGTGGCATTTTGGTGTTCTGATAGAGAGAAATATCGTCATGCAGTGGAGGGAAATGGGCTTTTGTTTCCTCCTGGGATTTGTAAGTTAAGTATTTGGCCTATGTTCGGGGTGGAATTTTCTCTGAGGTGGATTGTTATTTTCCCATTCTGTGCCACAAGAGGTGAGGCCTGAGATTCTGGACCTATCACAAAAGAAAGAGCAGTGAATGATGGTGGATGTGGCTTTTTGCTGCACAATGTTTAGATATCAGCTGCTATGTTTTGAACAAGGTCTGAATACGTGGTATCGCAACTGATCGTCAAGATGTCCTTCACGAGGCCTATTCAAGGTATTATTACCTTCTGTCAAAGAGTTAGATGGAGTTTCAACAGCAGCTCATGTACAATTCACTAACAAGAGGGTTGAATTTTTCTTCTCCTGGGACCGAGTGTTCAGAATACAGAGTATATTCCAAGCTCGACTCTGGTGAAGGGTATTGCATATGCAAGATGATGCAGCCCTGGTCAGTTGGTCAGCTTCTCAAAGTGAAGCCTTGCGGTTTCGCCTCTTGTTGGTAGCTTGTCATCTGACTGGTGAAAAGCAAAGCGTCTGATTGTCCAAAACATTGGCAGCCATGGCATAATTGGCGATTCTGTCACGGCTCGGAACCTGGGGGGACTATCATTGGCCTGATTTTCCAAACAGAAGCACAGCTCAGCCTGGCTGAACCTTCTTCTCCCACATGAAAATTGCCGAGCTTCAAGGTCCCTGGGTCAGGTCGGCAATCTAGACCGCCAAGCAGGGAGCAAGGGCAGCAAGAAGGAAAAGGGGTGAGGATGCTTCCTGGACAAGAGTACTGAGTACGCACTCCTCGCCTAGGCTCTTGGAGGAGGTGAACAGCACAGCGCAAGGCTTCATTGCTGGCAGTAGGGTTATTAATTAGTTAAACTTGGCGATTCTGTTTGGCTGTTGACTGAGGTTTGGGGAAAGCGCAGCCCAGTCCCCCAACAAGTTCCGGTAGTGGAAGTTAACCAGCTCTGCTTGGCCTTGGCTCCCTTGAACTCACTCCCCACACTGCCTTCTCCTCCTCCGCAAAACCTCCTCCATCCTCCTCCTTTCCGCCGCCTCTCCTCTTTTCCGTCGTCGTGCTTCATCTCAGTCAGACGCTCTCTGCCAGTATCGTCGCCCCTTTTTCGATCGGCCTTTCAACTAGCCCACTGATTGCCAGCTTGTGCTGGAAGTCGTCGTCAAGATGGGGAAGAATGCTGTCTTATATCCTCGCATCTCCAAAAAGCCTCCATTCAGCGTCGAGGCTTCGGGCTATGAGCCTGTAAAGGGAGAAACGATCCCGCGCCGCCATCCCTCCGCGAAAGATGAGTTGATTACGACCGTAGACCCCGAGATTGCGACGGTGTACGACAATCTCAGATGGAGTGTCAAGAAGTATGGCAACAAGAAAGCTGTTGGCTCCCGAACTCTCATTCGGACCCACGTCGAGACCAAGAAAGTGAAGAAGCTGGTGGATGGCGTTGAGAAGGAGGTTGATAAAGAATGGACGTATTTTGAGTTCAGTGGATATGAGTATATGACTTTCAATGAGTACGAGGCTTTGGCACTGCAGCTGGGTGCCGGTTTGCGAAAGATTGGCCATGAGAAAGGCAGTCGTATTCATTTGTTCAGCGCCACCAGGTAGGGCTTGCGCACTTTCCTACGTGACGTTTGCATCTAACCTTGATATTCCTCTAGTGCCCACTGGTTAGCTCTATCCCATGGTACGTTCCTCTGCACCTTAGCTTGCAATGTTGCCCTCTAACAGATCTACAGGTGCTGCATCGCAGTCAATCACGATCGTTACAGCTTATGATTCCTTGGGTGAAGAGGGTGTCAAGCACTCCCTTGTCCAAACTCAGAGTTCCACCATTTTCCTCGATCCCGGCCTTCTTCCCGTTTTAATGACAGTTTTGAAGGACGCAACGAATCTCAAGAATGTTGTCTATGATACTTCCGCCGAGGTCAAGCAGAACGACCTTGACAAGCTCAGAACCGAATTTAGCCACATCAATGTGATGTCCTTCGAGGATTTGAGAAAGCTTGGAATAGAGAATCCCGTAGACCCGGTGCCTCCTTCTCCAGAAGATCTTTGCTGCATTATGTACACCTCTGGGTCAACCGGCCCTCCCAAGGGCGTTTCCTTGAAACACAAGAACGTTATCGCAGGCAGTATGTCACCGGAAAAATCTTCCCGCTCTCTTTTCGCCACCAGCTAACATCGCTTTCTAGTGGCCGGCGCTAATGCAGTAGTTGGCGAACACATTAGTCCCAGTGATGTTCTTCTTACATATCTCCCACAAGCTCATATTTTGGAGTTTCTTTTCGAAAACATCTGTTTGTTCTGGGGCGGTACTATGGGTTATGGAAGCCCCAAGACCCTCTCGGACGCGTCTATGCGGAATTGCAAAGGCGACATCAAGGAATTGAAACCTACGATCCTCGTCGGCGTGCCTATGGTTTGGGAAAGTGTCAAGAAGGGCATTCTCGCCAACGTCAACAAGAGCAGCGCGATTATCAAAGGGCTATTTTGGGGAGGCCTTGCCACAAAGTCATTTCTGATGTCTACAGGCCTTCCTGGCGCTGGCATACTAGACGCTGTTGTTTTCAAAAAATTGAAGGAGGCCACTGGAGGTAGACTTCGCATCATGCTCAGCGGTGGCGGCCCCATCTCCAAAGAAACTCAACGTTTCCTCTCTATGGCGATCTGCCCAATGATCAACGGGTATGGTCTGACGGAAACCTCAGCTATGGGCGGATTGAACGATCCGATGGCCTGGAACCCCGATGCGATTGGTGAAATCCCCGCTGCAATTGAAATCAAGCTGGTAGATTTTGCCGAAGCTGGCTACTTTACCGACCGTACCCCACCACAGGGTGAGATCTGGATCCGTGGGGGAAGTGTCGCAGAAGGCTATTACGACAACGAGCAGGAGACAAAGGCCGCATTTACTGATGATGGCTGGTTCATGACTGGTGATATTGGTGAGCTCGATAAATATGGCCACATCAAAGTCATCGACCGGAAGAAAAACCTCGTCAAATCTTTGAACGGAGAATATATCGCTCTGGAGAAGCTTGAGTCGATCTATCGTTCTGCTCATATTGTTGCAAATATCTGCATTTATGCCGCTCCAGATCAATCCAAGCCTGTCGCTATCATCGTGCCCGCTGAACCGGCTTTGCACCAGATGGCGAAGCAGAATGGAATCGAAGGAGACAGTATTGGCACCCTCGTGCACAACCCCAAGCTGAACTCTATCATTTTGAAGGAAATGCAACAGGCTGGTAGAGCCGGTGGCCTTAAGCCATTTGAAATTATTGAGGGCGTTGTTCTCTCTGATGAAGAATGGACCCCTCAGAATGTAAGTTTACCTGCATTCCGTTCATCACTTGGATATTTTTTTTTTGCTAATTTTGGCTTTTAGGGCTTCACCACTGCCGCCCAGAAATTGCAGCGAAAGAAGATTATCAACAAATTCCAAAAGGAAGTTGACGCAGCCTATGGCAAGGCCTAATCCCAATTTATTATGATTCCAATGATTTAGCTGGGTGACACTTCCAATTTGGTCTCAGTGTGAAATTTTTATACCCCTGAACCAAGTCTTTTTCCGCAGTTCCTAGCGGTTTTTGCTTGTTTTAACCTCCATCAATGTTAGGATTGATAATATCTTTGAGGCATGAGCTTCAGCTTTGTCTTGTGTTGTCTTTGATTGCCTTTCTCAATGATTTTATGCATAGCTCCGTTTGTAAATTAAGGCTATTGATACCTCGAGACTCAAGGTCAGAATGTTAGTATTTGTTATATTATTGAATTGAAGCCCTAAACAACTACTACAAATCCGTGCTTTCGGACGCTCTTGACCTGCTTGTATAAAAAGTTGACTGGATGCACGCTCTAGTTCACTGATCCTTAGTGCGATACGCGACATGCGCCCTTCGAACACAGAACACGAAAAGGACCTAAAGAACAAGAGTATTAGAAATATGGTAGTAAAACTCATTAGTTTCCAATGTTTAAAGATTTGGAGGTATTGAATTCCTTACTGTCGCTGGCATGGAATCTGCGATTCACTGGTGGGTGAGAAATGGGGACAGGGATATCCAAGAGGGTAGCCAGTTCAATGCTACCCATCATCTGTCTAATTATTTGACCAGGCACAGATTTGGCCTCCGTTTTCCAACCTTGGGTCCGGTCGGGACCTTAAAATTGGCAACCAGGTTTCTACCTAGCTCTCTCTCTCTCTCTCTCTCTCTGCTGTTATTAACCAGTCTTTAAGCAATGCCTTGAATGGGACTGGGAGTTGAAGGGAGGTGGTCACCCAATGATTCGATGTCAATGGTAATCAGCGAAGATGTCCAGTTTGTCAAATCCAACTAGTATGCCACGTCGTCGTAAGGGTCTCTGAGTCACTTGTCAGCTAACTAACTAGTTAAGTTCAGGGCTCAAAGCAAAATAGCTACTGATCCTTGTCAATTTGTACCATTCGGGTGCCCAAAGTCGGTAAACCTGACGTTGATCTGATCCCGACGGAAGTTTTGCGCCCAGGCCAAAAACGCCCTAGCGCCGAATTTAGTCAACTACCTAATTCAGACATCAGATATCAAAACGACTTGGAAACCGTCGATCGCGATTCTCCCAGTTCGCCTTTAGCCATCCAGTCCTCAGCAGGATGTCTCTTTGGAAGTAAGCTATGATGTCCCTCCGTACCTTTAGCTACTGGCTATTTTCATCACAAACCGCAAACCTCGATGCCAAAATGACTAACTTTTATGGAACTTATCAGATCGTACCGCAACTTATCGCCGCGCACACGGCTGGTCTTTGGCTTTGGATTAATGGCCTACGCCGCGTTTGGTCTGTGGGCCGAGCCACGCGTCGAGAAAACATTAGGAATGTTACCGACGGAGGCGGAAAAGGCCGAATTAGACAAGAACATCAGTGTTCGGATTCGAGCCGTGGAGAAGTGAACGCAGTAAGGGAAATGGGAGAAAATACCGAACAAAGAGTCTCTTCTATGCTCCTACTCTTGGAACCGACTATTCGGCTTGACTTACGGCGGCCTTATGGTGGTACTCTCGGGAATCGGTGGGAATATCATTTTGGGTATGAGATAGGAGCTTTACAACATTGGCACTAGGAAACGTTGGATATCTATTAGTTACTAATCAGCTTTCAACATTTTGTTTTTCTGAGAAGCATGGCGGATGTGGTCGAAATAGACGGATATGGTAAGCTCGCTTTGAGCTTTGAAGGAAACTGGCTCCAAATCAGCATGCGAAAGTGCAATCTTGCCAATACTGTTATCCCACCTTTGGTTCGCAGATTTACAGCCGTTTTACTATGTCAATGGCGACATCTTGTGAACAATACTGGTTGAGTAGAATTTGAGGCCTGGTACCTGGTTGTATATGGAATAGCGAGCAAAGTCTAATTTGACCGATCTTCCCTACAAAGCTGATATGTTGAAAGTTCGAAAATATCAAATTGCCCTAGCCCATAAAGCCCAAGTAATAAATAGTAATGATTCATTTTATGAAAATTTGAGTGTCTAGATAGTAGGCAGATAATCCATTTCAGGTCCCTAAAACTTGGAAGAAAGGAAAAAAACATGATTTTTTTCACCCTTTTGTTTCCATGAAATAAACAAGTCATATCAGCTTCGGTCATTAGCAGTAAACCAAGGTCATGTATTAGCCACAGAAAAGAAACAACCAGTGAAAAAAAAAGGGATACTCCTTAGAATGCGTGTAAAGAAAGTCAAAAATAAGGGAACTTTAAGAGCCATTCTCCTTCGTACACACTTTGACTTAGGGTTTGAGGTTAACTTGGTTTCCAATGTTGTCCCGTCTTCTCTTCTCCCTTTAGACTGTTTTTGAAAGTCACTCGGAACAAGAATGCTTTGTTGCCCTAACCTAGTCATCAGATATAGAAAATAAAATAGTCATGTTAAGACAGTTAGCTGGCCCTGAATTGGAAAGGTACAAATAACGAGAATTTGGTAAGGTATCAGAGAGGCACAATCATAACATAAACATGCTGTAGATCATGAAACTAATCGGATATGCTGGTGTTCGCTGGGTTTGTTATGCTTGAAATCGGGGCATAATTAAAATGATCAGCAAAGAACGATAATGAGTCATGCCATGCCCCTTTAGGGCGTAAGAGCTACGGCACATATATCGCGGCTCGGGGGGAATAGGAAATATTTCGTCCTTGTTTATGCAGGCCGTGTCACACATTTTAAGGGAGGGAGGTCATGTTTATAGGGGGGCCGGTCATAATTTCGCTGATAGGTTTGTGAGCACTTGCGGCAAGTATTCGCGTCGCTAAAGGAAATTCGGAACACTCGAAAGGATAAAGTTTGGATAGAAAGAAACCTCCATATGAGAGGTCGCGCAACATAACACAAGCAGAATCAACATGGCCAAGAGGCTGATGCTGTCTCATTGAATTCCCAGGTCACAAAATCCCATAGGGCTGGTAACCGTATTTTAGAAAGTTAAAAGCAATCATCAGCTTTGCAGCGAAAACCATTGGAATTTTTGAACGCTACTGGTAGGGAAAAGCAAAAGAAAAGGGAATTCGTAACGTCTTATCTCACATAGCGTGAGAATTATGTATGGCATCATATCGACCATAAGAATGATCCTCTGCGCGAGTAGAGTAGGAGTTGAGTCTTCCGCCAGATGAAGGACGGCTGACTTCGTGGTTCGGGTAATTGCCAGAAGCCTGCCCTCTAATGTACTGGTTCGTTCCGCCGTGGTCATTATTCAACATTGGGATCATAGGGTCAAATGCTTCGCCGAGGGAGACATCATTTTGTTCTTGAGACTTGTTCGTGTTATCTTCGAATGACGGTAAAGCGCAGCGGACATTCATCTGCTCAACTCTTCGTGATGCTCCGGGTGCAGATGCAAATGAAGGTTGCCCGTAGCCATCAATCGACGTAGCGGTTGTCATGGGCTGCATTGAATTAAGCGGATCGTTCAACAAAGCATAGTCGTAGCCTGGGGATGAGGAGGAAGAAGAAACGAGGGAGCTTGCGGTCAAAGGAGACTGATCTGTAGAAGGCATGCGACGATAATCATAATGTGATCCGTTACGGGGGGTCGTGTCATAAGTAAGTGAGGAAGGATGTGAGCGGGATTGTGGTGGTGGAGGAGGGTTTAAGCCAGCATGCATTCCCAAGTGCCCCATTGTTGAATTTCCACTGTCTGCCTCGCAGGTTGTCATACGGCCGTTGCTGTCACGTCTAGCATCTTTGTAATGCCCGGGGGACCTTCCACGTACAACCACAGGGTTAGAAAGCTTCCTGGAAAGCATCACCCACTCGTTGCCATTCCCAAGAGGATCAGATACCTCAGCCCAGAGTTCTGCGACGAGGTTATAAAACTGTTGTTGTGCACGTCGTTTCCCGTTGTTCGCCGTGGCTTTTTGGAATTGGATTCGCTCCCAAGTGTGGGACGTTGGTATTTGAGGGGATTGCTGTGCGCTTCCATAAGATGAACTATAGTCCATTTGCATGCTAGTGGTTTGAGCTGGGGGGAGGCCGAAATTTAGGTGGTTATTATTCGCTGCATGGTTAAGGAGGAGCGACGGCGGCGGTTGCGGCTGAAGAATTGCTCGTCTGGGTTTGCTTTCGGATTGCTTATCACGTTTTGGGGTGTGTTGGATAAGTTCGCGGGTTTCCTTTTCTTGTCCATTCACAAATGCAGATATTTTCATAGCGAAAGATTGTATCTTTTCCGGTGCGCGTCCAGGACGCTGTATTAAATAGGTCGTACACACTGACCAAGGCCGCAGGGCAAATGATAGCGACACGGAAAAGTAATTTCTGCGATAACACGTCCAGTACCCTCCGGCAACAAAAAATCCTTTGTGAATTCTGGCCTGGATCTCCGGCTTCACAACCTGGCCATTGGCCACAACAGTGTAGTATATTTCTGTATCAAGCCATGGCGGTGAATCTATGGTTGAAAGTGTTAGTCTAGTGGGGGATTCTAGGAATATATTTCCTGAATTTCCATATACTGTATTGGCGGTACCGTTCATCGGCATATCATTAGAGCGGGCAGGATACTGGTGATATCTTGTAGCGTCACCGAAAGAGTTTGTTGATTGGGCTACCGAAAGACTGGTTCGAGGCATCGCATAAGGCATTGAATAGTTGTCACCGCGACTAATTATACTAGCAGATGAAGGAAGCATAGCGCTTGTTGGGTGCATAGTATGTGGAAGTGAAGACGGCTGGCTAAATGAACAACCCAGTCAGCAAGTCGCCGCACACATGTCAGAATCGGGACGGGTCGAACGTACAGTGGAGGCACTCGTGGGTACCTATAATCGACCATTCTTCCGGCCGAAGATACAGGAGGACGAATCTTTGTTGGAGACGCTTGGGACGAGTCACTCTCCGCTGAATCAAGAGTGCTCACGTTACTACTATGGAGGGAAGCCAAGGAAAAGGTTGTCTCTTGGGATTTTGCACTGTCTGGTGATGACCTGGTAGACGGTTTTGCCACGCTTTTCACGTCTCCAACGGGATGAAATCTGAAGGTCAACTTGTCAACAGATGCACCAGATATCCTCACCAAGTTTAAATCGATAGAAGACAAAGGCTGGAGGAATAACAGCGTAAATATGGGCAGAATGTGCTGTAATAGGACACAGAAGAGAGGATTTTGGCTGAACTTTAAGATGCAGAACTTCTTTAGAAAACAACAGGGAGGTAACAGCTCCAAGTCAAAATAATGACTCAGCGAACACGCTGTGAAGCAATGATGCTGGCTCGGCAACACAGTAGATAGTCTGATAAGAGCTGTTGAGGTAGGCAGGGTGAATGGGGAGTGCGCCAGAACATCGTTGGCACAAACACCTGTTAATATGCAGGCAAAAGTGGCCAGAGAGCTGTAAGATGGGTTTATACGATCTTCATAAATGGGACCGATCAA